ACTGAAGTTTGTAGAATTATTTATCCTATTCTCAAGTAGAAGTGCATTCTATTAAAATAATACAAATATCAGGAAAACCACTAGCACAAGTTTGATTCCGTACACAAGTTAAAGGTGCTAACAACAATGCAAAACAAATCATCACAACTTTCTCAAATCTCCTTCTGAGTTCATCTTAGTATATTAAGTAGTAGCAAAACCTCTGTTCAAAGAGTAGCAAACTGTAAAATATAGAAAGTGGTGGAACGACTCTAATATAACCTATTTGTTCATTCTTGTAAAATACTAAAATATATTAAGTAAATAAGAAGTAACAAAACCCCTGTTCATTCTTAAAAATTAATCACATAAATAAGAGTCCAGAACTCCCATTGCATGCCAAACATTCCATATACTTATAGCCTATCTGAACTAAGATTATTATATCTATAATCTGTAGCATTTTCCAAAAGCAAAATATACCTAACTAAGATTAAGAGTCCCGAACTCAAACCAAAAGAAAGATCCTATCTAGTGGTATCATTCGACATTCAGAGTTTTAGACATGAGACATTCATAAATAAAACAAATTTTATATCAATTATTTAACTATTTTAACTAAAAAAACCATTTACCACTATTGAAGTAGAACCGACGACGGCAATGGCGATGGGGGAGAAATAGAACTAGTGATGGCGACTGGAGAGGTCAGAGGAGAAATGGTTCGTAGGTTCAGTATTTTGATTGTCTAAGGAGAAGAAACCACAGCCTTGAGCCCATAGCCATAGGAAACAGTGAGGGGAGAGAAGAGGCGACGACAACATCAGAGAAGAAAGAAGAGGTGATGGAAGAGGAGTGGCGATCGGCATCTTAGTTGCTAGGGTTTGCAAAATGCGACTTGTGAGTTCTCTGTTCAAGGCTCAAAGAAAGAAAGAACAGGGATTTTTTTCATGTTTTAGCCTTTTGCTGGAGTTCGAATGTAGGAATTGGGCTTGGGTCGAAAGAGAAGGTTAGAGACTCAGAAGGGCACGGGCTGCAGGGGGGCTGGGCCGCTATGGCAGGGAAATATAAAATATATATATCATCTATAAAAACCGGTCGGTTTAGTTAACCGTTGGTTTTTTGATAGGTTAACCGAAAACCAAACCGATCCTTCAATTTTTTCTAAAAATCAAACTGAAATCGAACCAACCGGTTCAGTTAACCAGATTTTTTTGATCGGTTTTTTGGTTTTTCGGTTTCTTATGGACACCCCTAGTTCAAACCACAAGTTCTGTTTATGACACTTATATAGCAACTTCAAAAGAAAAACTTCAAGGGGAAGGAATTGAAGGATGTTGTTTGGGCTATTGGGAAATTATATACCTAGTCTGACTTTGTTCAATACATAGGAGTTATCAATAGCCTATCCATACATGCACATGAATGGCTTAATAAAGTCCCCCCGACACATGTCCAGGCATGGGTTTGACACTGTAGTTAAGTCTGAGGACATAACAATTAATTGGACAAAGTCATTTAATTCGTAAATTTGGGAGGCTAGGACAATGCCTATTGTTGAAATGTTGGAGGATATTCAAAAAATATGGATGTAGAAGACCTATGTGAGACATGAGGCATCCATTGCAATTAGGTCTGAGTTGTTGCTGAAGGTGCAATCAATCATTGATAGGAGAAGGAGAGAAGCTAGGTGATGTTTAATTGGTATATACTTTACATCCTTGTTGTTTAGTGTTGTTGTCTTGAGTAGTTCATTGCATATGTACTTATTAATTGTATAATGCACTTGTAGGTCTATAAGGGTTTTCCAATTATGACAATATAAGTATCAAACTTTGGGGACTGACTTGGTTGACAATGTCACCAAGATGGATGCAAAGACATGCACCTGTAGGGTTTGGGATATAAGCAGCCTACCTTGTGCTCATACACTTGCAGTGCTTACTTATACAAGAGGTAGGGTAGAAAATCTATGTGACAAAACCTTCCATAAGGCTACCTATGCAAAGGTGTACAATCACTTTATTCATGCTCTTCCGGGGTAGAAATACTGGCAACAAATACAACACCACCTAGTTAGACCCCTCACAGTGAGGAGGAGTCTAGGTCGACCCCCAATCAGTAGAAGAAGAGAAGAGGATTAGGTAGGCCTATCATACTATACCCCACTAGAACATAAGATAATCAGGTGTTCTATTTGTGGTGTATTTGGGCACAACATAAGGAATTGCCAAGTCCTTCCTCCCAATACCAACAGGGAGACTCTAGAAGTAATATTACACAAGCAACAACCCATATGAACTTATTACCATGTATTTGTTTCTGTACTAAGTAAGGTATTTGAATTATAGGTACAAAGGCTTGTTGCTGATCAAGTTGATCCTACCCATACAGTGAGAAGGAAAATCTTACCACCCAAGAGAGGGGCTATATCTACACAAGTTGATGGTTACTCATCCATGTCCACTCATACTCCTTCAACCTATGAAGTTGGGTTTTCATCAAGATCAATAGTTGGTAGTACAAGGGGAAGGACTCCCAGCTCAAGTAAGGGTGGCAGGGGGAGGTTGAGTCACCCAAACATACATGGTCAATCATCAAGCAAATAGGTTAGTTGAAATGACTTCATACATGTTTAATTTCTTGGTGTCAATTATATGAATTTAACTAACTCAATCCTATTGCATATGCAAACTAGACAGCCTAGGAGGGGTGTCGGGGGAACCTGCAACATCCAGACATTACTCCATCAGGCAAATAGGTAAGCATACTTAATCCCACAACCTATTTAAGCTTTGATAACTATTACTTAATCAGTTGCATTTTATATTAATATTCCTGCCAATTCATGTGTGTAGGCCGAAGAGCAGAGAAGTCAGGAAATGAGATACTCCCAGCCTTGAGAGCCTATAGGAGGACATGGGTTCTTTTTGAATGACAACCACTACCCAACTCAGTGACAATTGTGTTTTTTAAATGGCATACAAGGACTTCTTTTTTTGTGTGCAATTTGACACACCCATGAATAAATTGATATCATTTTTTTATATGTTTGAATACAACACACTCCATATATGTTGGTTGTGGGATGAATAGCCACTGAGTAAAGTGAATGAATGGGTGACATGATTGATATAAGAGGGACTTTTTTTGTTTGTAGATAATGGTATCACCATGAATGAGCTATTGGGTGATTAGCACTTATGATGTATCTTATGAGTTATTGGTGATTAACACTTATGATTAACAAATGTTTACATATTATGATGTCTGTGTGGTTGATATTATTAGCAGTTGTCATGATTAGGAGGTGCTTAATGTTATGAGGTGTATGTTTTTTATTGATTAACAAATGATGGAGCTTTCATTAGCAGGTTTATCAAGTGGAAACGACTGACACTAGCGGGTTTATTAGGTGGAAATGACTGTCACTGGCAGGTTTATCAAGTGGCAATGAGTGTCACTAGCAGGTTTATCAAGTGGCAATGATTGTCACTGATTTTAATTAGTGAAACCACTGAAACTTTTCCTTTGCATGGTTTCTTTAGTTTCTTTAGTGTTTTGATATGTTGTTTGTTGCGTAGGACTGTAATTTTTCATTGGTATAGTTTTTCACTCTTCAAATGTCTAGGGTTGTAACTTTTCAAGTGAACCTAGTGACCGATTTTATCTCATTCTCGCACTCCCTATTAGTAGACTTGAGAACATTTGTACAAAAGCAGAATTGAGAACATTTGTAAGATGTTCCCATGATATGATGGGAACATCTAAAGCATACTTGAGAAGAACTCAGTTCTACAGGAGACTTGTTTTCTATCCTATTCCTTTTGTCTATAGCCCATAGGAGCCTAATCAGCCCCACTCCTTCTATTACTTAGCCCTGATATGTTAAGTAGATGTCTTCTAAACAGTTGTGATATGTTAAATAGGTTATCCTAGCCTTAGTCAAATCATTTAAACATCTTCAAATGCCTTACAGCCGCTCTGTTCTACCATTCTAAATAGATGTCTTCTAAACATCTGCCACTAGTCCATTCCTTTCCTATGATATGTTAAACAGCTGAGGGAAAATCTCCCGACCAAAAAGAAAACTAGAAGATGGCAAGCATCTAGAGAATGAACTTCCTAGAAAAGTGTAACCAGATTTCTCGCTCATGCCACTGTAACTGCACTTAGATAAAGATTGGTAAACATCTGGTGTCATATGCAATTTATACTTCATTGAAACAGGGGCAGTGGAGTAAGCATACTTCCAAATCTATAAAATTGTTCCAGAATACTATGGTAGTGCATGGATGATCCAACTTGTCAAGATTAACCCTTCTCCACCAAGTCAGGGAACAATATTCTCTGAAAGCATACCAACATTGAAGCCCTCAAACTCAGGTATGGCTTAATCAGCACCAAGTCAAGATCCTGGGCAAATTGGGAGCTGACTAAACAATATGAAAACAATATATCCTCTCCTAGATGACTTCCCTACATGGTTCCTTCAGAACAACCCAAATTCTCCATATTTACCATATTCGGTATCCTTTCATAGGGTGGCAAACCAATTTCATCAAGGACAATGCTTGTTGGATCTAGGATACCAATTTATCCTTCAAGTAACCTCAAGACTTAACAATCACCTCTTTCTCTGAACTGGAATCAAAAGAATACTCTGATGGTTGGTGATTAACAATCAAGGGGTTATTATTCTCACCTTGATCTGTCACTTCCAATTGAATTAAAAGAATACTCCTTTAGTTGTCTCTCTTCACACCAAACATCTGAAGAAATTGCCCTTGGATCCCAGCCCAACAAACTTTCGTAGGTATATGATGTTAAGTATTAGCTTGGATTGGGTTTTATTACTACCAAACCACACACAAGTGTTTGTCTGTTTACACAAACATAACAAGTTCTATTTTATAATCTTCTCAAATATACACGCATATTGTGGCTTGAGTAGAGAGAGGGAGAGAGAGAGAGCAAACCACACAAGTGTTCTATTTTTTCTTAATTTTACACATGTTTGATCATTACATATTCAAAACAACAATGGTTGATTATTGCACCTTCAAAGACAAAAGCAAAAGTAGAAAGCCACATCATACATATTTGTGCGTAAATCCTTGATACACTTTAATAATTTATCACAAGTCTGACATTCTATCCAAACTATCCTTCTCAAACTAGACACAACTGCTACAACTTCGTCTAATGTGTCCCTAGATTACTTTTCATTGCTTCCAGAAGGTCATAACGCATCTCCTTTCATGGTTACACTCCCCATCCTATGCTCGGCATTCTCCACTAAAGTTATCCATGAAAAAAATTTACAGCCACCTCCATCCTACAAAAATAACTGGGGATTCAGATTTGATTGAGAATAAGTCAATAAGAAAAACAAATAAACAAATAGGGATTAACAAAATTTTTCTTACCTGAGGCTTTGCGCATACCCAAAACCATTTCCCTTGGCTGTCTAGCCTTTTGGATGTGAATACTCTATATAGCCCAATGCCATAGGGACACATCCTTGCCTCATCTTTTCATAAGAAGAAGTTGCATCATCTATCGGGGACGAACTACAACGAATACACATAGGTTATTTAGCATATAACATGTACGTAAAATAACTTACATAACTTCTAACTTACATAGTAGTGGCACCCATAGAATTGTCGACCAACATTCTTAATCTTTCCATGCCTAGCCATAATAGTGACACACTCTCCACCGCATGGACACACAACATTCATGGTGAAAGATCAAGGAAATAAAATTGGTGTGCCTAAGATCAAAAAATAAATTATTTATGAGCACATTTCGTCGAGTGACTGTGTGTGCGGGATAAGGCTAGGGGGCTGGGATGACTGTGCGTGCAGAGTGAGGGTGGGGGATGGGCGTGTGGTAAGGGGGACTAGGCATGCATGAGTGATGGTGGGATGGGTGTATTGCTATAGTCTGGCACAGGCTTAGCTTTGCCTAGGCGTAGCAGGCTTACATTAAGGGACATCACCGCCATTTTTTCCTAGATTTTTGGGAGATTTGATGTTATCTTCAGGTAGACCACCAAAAGCTTAACGTACTCTTTAAGGAGGGGTGGTCGACCTCCTTGGGTGCCTAACCTTGGCACTCCTAGACCAATTTCTCTTGCAGGGCGTCCCTGGTTAATGGCTAGCATGGCTACTAGGGTTCCTCATGGGCGCACACATGCTCATGGGGACAGTGCATGGACCGGCACTGTGCTACCGACACTCAAGGGAGGCTTGGCATGCGGGCCTGGCTCAAGCATGACCCTTCACCACGCCAGCCCCTTGCCTAAGCTGAATGAGCTATCCCGTTGCCCCTAGAGCACGGGTGTGTTCCGGCCCAATCGGTTGCCTCTCATCAAGGCACACAGGTGCCTACATCATCGGCATACAGGAGACCCATCACATCGGTGCCCAGTCACCTCTCTTCGGTGCATAGTCGCCTCACATCCTGGCCTTCCCCCTTTAGCACGTAAGAGGCGCCTCCCATGGACCGGCCAAAGCCAGCCGAGTGCCCCGGCCATGTGACTTGAGGTCATGATCCAGTGCTACTGACCTTGGTGGAGCCATCTCATCGGACAACTCCTAGCCTCCAAGCACACAAAGGCTTGTCCTGGCCTACCTTGGCCTGGATGCCGCACGGGTTTCTTCCACTGTAGAACTACCCCCGTGACAGTTGGTATTAGAGTGAGCTAGCAATTGCTGCCGTAGTTGTCATAGAAGATTAGCCCAGAGCCAGTTGAAGCGGTTATCCCGACAAGCAGCATGTTGTGGGGTGTGGTCCCTAGGCACTTCCACTTGGGTTCAAGCAAGCATCTTCACATTAGGCCTGGCAAGAGGCCATTCTTCATGTCCCCATTCCAATGACCCCAAAAACAGCACCCCTGTGGGGGCAGACACATTGGTTGTTGTGCTCATGCGGGGGCAGGCGCGTGAGCCTTTTCGTGGAAGGCATATTGTGGTGGTTTGAGTGGGGGAGTGGACATCAGTTGCTGTTCATTTTAGTGAGTTGTGGGCGGTGCACCTACATCTTGGTTTCATGATGGATGAGCCTTTGTTCTGTAGCTTTGTCTGAGGCACTACTAAGGCGGGGACAACCGTTCGAATTTGGTTGGTGTCGATGGTTGGTCAAGGAATATCACTGAAGTGGTCATTTTGCATCAAATGGGTCATCAGTTGAAGCCACAATATTGGAATGATAGGAATGTGGGTACACTGATCATTGGAACATGGCAGCCCTACATCGGCAATGCATCAGAGGACATGCTCAGTTCAACAAACAGGTGGAACATTCGCAGCAATAGCGCACATCACAAGGTGAGTGCATGTTCGGCAACATCATGGGTAAAAGTTGCCACCACTCGCGTTCATTGCAGTCAGATCTCCTTGAGGCAGCAACACATTGGGGCCCCCTCGGAGTGAAGAGGTAGCCCAAGTCGGTGAGGCGAAGTGTAGTTTTGAGGGCCAAGAGAGCATAAGCCATGGACTAGGTTTGAGTAACCCACACACGGCGAGGTGAAGTCTGCAGGCCAGCATGGTGAAAGGGTACGCAGGACACACGCCAACAACAGGAGTAAACCTATCACGTTGTGTTCGATAGCACCATCGAAAAACTACCAAGAAGACGGTCGAGCCTTGAGGTAAAGATGATACATGGGGCGGACCTCCGCGAAGCACACATCCAATTTCTTCGAGGGCCCTTCTTTCACACTTTCAATGGCATAGTCATCGCACGGTTTGAGTAACCTCAACACTGGGGGTGAAGTCCAGGTAGGTCGGCATGGTGAAATGGTTTTGTCCCCATAAATGGACACCAATATAGGCAAGACCTAGGTTGGCCAGGCGAGCCCAGGAACTAGCAGGAAAGTGGATGGTGCGGGACACAAACGCCCATTCACAAGAAGAGCCATTGTCGAGGACAACAATGGATTGAGTGGGGAAGCCTGTTACGGTCTGACACAGGCTTAGCCTTGCCTACGCTTGGCAGGCTTACGTTAAGGGACATCACCGTCATTTTCGCCTATAAGATTTTTGGGAGATTTGATGTTATCTTCAGGCAGACCACCAAAAGCTTAACGTACTCTTTGAGGAGGGGTGGTCGACCTCCTTGGGTGCCTAACCTTGGCACTCCTAGACCAATTTCCCTTGCGGGGCGGCCCTAGTTAATGGCTAGCATGGCTACCAGGGCTCCTCATGGGCGCACACATGCTCATGGGGACAGTGCATGGATTGGCACTGCGCTACCGACACTCAAGGGAGGCTTGGCATGTGGGCTTGGGTCAAGCATGACCCTTCACCATGCCAACCCCTTGCCTAAGTTGAATGAGCTATCCCGTTGCCCCTAGCGCACGGGTGTGTTCCGGCCCAATCGATTGCCTTTCATCATGGCACACAGGTGCCTACATCATCGGCATACAGGAGACCCATCACATCGGTTCCCAGTCACCTCTCTTTGGCTTACAGTTGCCTCACATCCTGGCTTTCCCCCTTTAGCACGTAAGAGGCGCCTCCTATGGACCGGCCAGAGCCAACCGAGTGCCCTAGCCATGCGACTTGTGGTCATGATCGAGTGCTACTGACCTTGGTGGAGTCATCTAATTGGGCAACTTCTAGCCTCCAAGCACACAAAGGCTTGTCCTGGCCTACCTTGGCCTGGATGCCGTACGGGTTTCTTCCGGTGTAGAACTACCCGCGTGACAGTATGGCATGAAGGGTGGGGCGTGTGAGATGGAAGGGCAAGCTAGGTGTGCGGTAAGGGGGGTTGGGCGTACGTGAGTGATGGTGGGCCAGGCGTACGACAGGGAAGGGTGGGTGGCAAGGAAGGGCGGGCTGGGTGTGCAACGTGGGGGGGGCTGGGAATGCGACAAGGCAAGTGGGCTGGGTGTGCAGCAGGGAAGGGTAGGCTGGGCATATGGCAAGAGGGGCGGGGGATGGGTGTGCATGTAACAGGAGGGGCTGGGCATGTGTGTGACAGGAGGGCTAGGGCTGTGTGCTATTTTGTCGAACAAATGCCAGTCAATGCCTGCATCTGTTCGAACCCAATGAAGATGCCATTCAAACCTATTAAAGATGCCAATCAATGCTTGCATCTGTTTGACGAGTGGACTAGACAAGCCTCTCCGACCACCTTCATGATGAAGATGTTAGTCAAGTAACAAACCCCACTCAAGAACGAGGATGGTTTGAGAGAGAATGAGATTGAGCTCTCCTTTCTCCTTCTCACCATTGTCGGTGCTGGTGCTAAGAAATACCAGCTCAGATTCATGTAAGGGGACGCTGGTGACTATCAAAGGCAGAAGCATACTAGTGCTAATGCAAGAAATAGTTCAGCCCAAAATGAAATGAATTGAAATGGAAAGGTATTTTTTTTCAACCATAAAAGGGTATTTTAAGAATTCTAGACAAAATAATCAGTCACATGCAAATGATGTATGAAGTCGGTAAGGGAGGTGTTTGACAATTGTCAAAAAATTTAAGGATAGTTTAAGACAATAAGGATACAATTAATCAATTTCGCAAGCAAACAGTAGGAATAGTTTAAAAAATTTGCCCATAAATAACTTATCAAAACCGGATTTGTACAGTAGGAATATCAAAATCAAGTTTGTGAAGTCCATCATCTAACCTGAATTATCTGTCTTCTTAACCCGCTAAATTGCTACAGTGGTCACCTGACATAGCTACCATAATAGCAAATCAAGGAGTATAATGCACCCTTGTTCCACAACCAAACCAGCCTAGAGACGCCACCTGCAACTACAAACATCAAAACCGACTCTCCTTCCATTAAAAACACCAAAACTGATTCTTCCATCCCAACATCCAAACCAGCTCTTCCCTCCCATTAAAAACATGAAAACCAACTACTCCATCCCATTAAAAACAACAAAACCAAAACTGACTCTTCCACCGATTATTCTTAATAGTTATTCTTAACAGTATATTTTGGAAACTAACTCTCGATTTTTTTGGTTGCTTGACGGAATGACATCGACGGTTACAATGGGCTTGGAAATGAAGTATGCTCCGCCTCTGTTTTGATGCCAAGCTCTACCCAGGATCAAGTTGAGTCCCGTCTGAAGCAAAAAATGATTGCAACACTTGCCCCTATTTTGGCCTATTCAAGCATGAAAAATAGAGGAGCACAAACAAAAGCAAAATGATTTAGAGAAAATTGCTTAGAATCCTACCGAGCCACGTTCTTTCTAAATGTCTATTTCCATATACGTTCATTCAAAAAATGGGATTCATATCAATTATGCGATTCCCACTTCTGTCCACGATCATGATATGCAGCTTCTATTCAGAATATTTGTGAGGTGGATTGGAGAGAAAGGAGAGGCCTGCTGTGGACCACGGGGACGTTACTCTTTTAAGTGAACAGTATAATATCACATCAATAGCTCTTTTCTTTGATAATAGTGGGATTCGAAACCACACCACTATTGGGATTAGTGGTGTGCATATGGGTCGGTTCAGTTTGGTTCCATGACAGAACTTGGAACCTACCTTATAGCTAGGGATTGGTTCTAGGTTTTTGGAACTGGAACCTACCCTGTGAAGGTCAGTTCTGGCTTTGGCAGTTCTAGTGCCGGTTCCACCAGGGTCTACCCTGGAACTTGTTCTTTCTCTACTCTCTCCCTTCAACAAAAAAAAAAAGAAAATTAAACATGTCCTTTAAAAACTTGATTTTCAATAATGATAATATAAAGTTCAAAACTTACATTATCTTTTTTTATTAAATTGAGTAATTTAATATGTAGATTATGATAATATATTAATATATGGTTGAAAATTTTTCATTATAATTTAAATTTTGTAAATATAACCTTTTTACATTATTTATTATATATAAACAAATATTAAAATGAAAACAAATGATCAAATCACTTAAGTAACTCGATGGTCAAGTGAGACCATGGCTTTTGTAATCATGAGTGCTTGTGCTCAAATTTTCACATCTTTAAAAATATTTTGGGGTTTATTTCAAGGAAAGTTCAGTTTCACAATCGGTTCCACCAAGGCCAATCAAGGCCGGTTCATCGGATCAGTTTGGTTAGGGTAAACCCTAGACCCTGGAACTAACCTGGGTGAGTGTCAGTTCCAACAAGAATTTGGAACTAGACCCTACCCTGTAACAGATCAAGTAGGGTCGATTCAAGACGGTTCAATGTCAGTTCCATTCATCTCCAAGTAGAACCTACCCATTTGCTTACCCCTATCTGGGATAATTCATCCAATGCACCAACTGTGCTACCCCTCAATTGGTGGTGAGGGTTGATATTGAGAATGATTTCTTATCTTCAATTGTTTAGGGAAATTTTTGTGTACGAATGTTTTATTTGTAGTTTATTACTATTCCTATAGGACTATGAATAATTTTGGACCTTGACTGAAAGTTGGAATGCCTCTTCAGGTAGAATGGTGTTGGTTGGTCTTTGGACAATTTGTTAGTGGGGTCCTCAAGGAGGAATGATTCAACATCCTCTAGGTCTATCCAAGAGACTAGGTTGATGAGGGAATGGAGTGAGAGTAGTTTAAGTCTGGTTTCTTCTTGAGAGAGGTTTTGCTTGAGTAGTGGTTTGGAGGATAGGATGGGCTCAAAACGAGCTTATGATGAGACAGGTAATGAGGATTTGGTAAGGAGGGTGGAGGAGAGGATGGATTGTCATCTAGAGTAGCTGAAAACTAAATCCGTCAGGATGGATATTAGGTTGGGCAGGTTAGAATCTAGATTGGATTTGGCTTTGAAGAAGTTGGATTCTGGTGATGTGTATTTGAATGATTTTAGTTGGGGGAAGACACTACAAATGGATATATGGGTATTCAGATTAGGGAAGTCACTGAAGGGTCAGAGCTGGATGCGGGTTCATGGCGAGTTAATGTTTGTTTCTATCATGATAATGGTATGGATTATGGTGGTGATATTTTTTTTTTTTTGTCTTTATCTATTTTACTCTATTTGTTTTTGCTCTTTTTCTTGGTCATTTTCATTTCTTCCTTTTTTTATTTTTGCTTATATGTTTTTTGCTCTACTGTAGTTGATGATGGGGGATCTTTTGTGCTACAACAAGGGATGGGGAATGTGGAAACAAAGGATGAGGATCAGGAGAGTCTCTTCTTTGTTGATTTTCTTGTGGTAGTGGTGATTGTCCCTAAATAGCCACATGGTAATGAAGATATATGGGTATAACTATTGAGAGGGCGACCTCTCCTTGGTTGTTAGAGGCCTTAGGAATCTTGTTTCTCAACATTCACCATATTTCTTATTTTTGTGTGAGACCAAGATTCCTGAGGAGAAGGCTACTCACCTAGCCAGAATTCTTAAATTTCCCCATCAAGTTGTGATCTCCCCTATTGGCTTGCTGAATATTGGTTGTGTTAATATTTTATGTGCAAATGGTAATTTTATTGTGTTGGAATTTCTGAATGCTCCTAGTTTTTTAATTGAATTGTAATTTTTATTTATGGAGAACCTATTATGAGTAAGAGAAATAATTTTTGGCATGTTTTTCCTGGTTGGTCAAGTAGTATTAATGTTCCTTTTGTATTATAGGTAATTTTAATGAATGTGTTGTGAACTTGTAATTTCTGATAATGGGTTAATTTATTTTCCTCTTGTTCCTAATAGAAAAAAATTGGCTTGTGCCTCATGCTTTTGTTACTTTCATTAGAAATTTTGTGTTATAGGAAATATTTCCTAGAGGTGGTGGAATTTCTTGGTTTAAGTTTGTGCGTGGTTTGGGAAATTTGGTTAGTTCTCTTGATAGAGTTTTGGCTTCTCTAGATTGGTTGTCCCTTTTTCCTTTGGACCTTTGGTCTTAGCTAGGGCTCGAATCATCATCTTTTGATTTTAGAACTGAATCCTATTAATGGGAAAAAGCCCAAACCCTTTAGATTTTGTCAAATATGGTTAGATGATGAAAATTGTTCTAATATAATCAAGAAAGCTTGGAATTTCTGTGTGGAAGGTTTTGTGGCTTATAAAATTGCATTAAAATTAGATAGGATTAAGAAGGATCTTAAATGGTGGAACAAAGAATTCTTTGGGGATATTAACCTCAAGTTGAACAATCTAGGATAGAAAATTTTAGATTTGGAGTAGTATGAATGTAATTGAGGATTTGAAGTTGTTGGAGCAAAAAGAGATGATTTTAAGGCTTTAGTAATCTTATTGGAGGCAGAACTTTAGGCAAATTTGGTGAGAGGATGGGGATAGTATTACCAAGTATTTTCATAGACTTGCCTCTACCAAACTTAAAAAGTTAAAAAGAAATAAAATTGATTGGATTAAGTTGGAGGATGGGAATATGGGACTTGGATTAATGATCAAGATTGTATTGTTAAGCATGGTGTTCAATATTTGATGATTTGTATAAATTATAGGGATCACATAATCTTTAATCTATTTTTTATCTATTTTCTCCCATTATTTTGGATGAGGAAAATGAAAGCTTAATTGCTTACCTGGGGAAGAGGTGATCAGGAATGCTTTGTTTAATATTGGTAGTTTAAAAGCTCTCTGTCCTCATGGTACTCCTTCTTTTATGTATTTTGTTTCATATGAACCAGAATATTATTGATCTTGTGATCTCCCATTATTTTAATCATATTTTCATTACTTGTGATCTTATCATTTTATGTAATATCATTTATAAAATCATTTCAAAATAATTGACTAATATGTTAAAGACTCTTTTGAACAAATGTATTTCTCCTTTTCAAAATGATTTTATTCCTAGCAAGTATTTAATAGATATTGCTATAATTACTCTGGAAGTTCTGCATTTTATGAAAAAAAGTAAGAGGTTATGGGTTTGTGGCTATTAAGGTTGATATGATGAAAGCATACTATAGGATTGAATGGGATTTTATTATAACGATGAAAGCCTTGGGTTTTTCTGATTATTGGTGTAATTATTTTTTTGTATTTCTACTGTCATAATTTATTTTATTACAACAATCTACGGGTTTTAATGTTCCTTCTAGGTTTCTTTTGTCAAAATCCATTGGAGGATGTATTGCATTTGTTTTTGTTTTTAGCATTTTTCTAGAGTAGTTTGATTTTCTTTTCCTTGGGTCATTGGGTGTTAGATTGGATTTTTCTTTTAGTGGTGATGTATTTTTATTATTTTTTTGAATTTGTTGCCTATTTTTCCTCCCTATCTTTGAAAAAAGTCTTTTTATCCTGGCTTGTTGTTGCTAGCTACAATACTTGGTCTATCATGAACAAGAATGGGGTTATTTTTAGAGGTAAGAACATTAATTTGGACCTTGCTATTGATAAAATTAAAACATTGATGATTGCCCTAATCTTCATAATTCCAAAGCTAGGTGTCAAATGGTTTCCAACCTTCTAGGTGAAAAAGTTTTGAGTTTGATTCAGGGAGATAATCTTTTTGTTGTTTTTTGTGATGGTGGTTTTGTTATGAACTCTTTGGGTTCCTATGGTGTTGTTTGTTTTTCTTTTTTATCAATAATAGAAAATAAATTCATTAATTAGAAAAAAAAGATAATACAGAATACAAATGGAGAGATAAACTTTATCAATTCCCCCAAAAAAATCAAAAAAAAAAAAATAGATTACAATATGGTCCAAAAACATAGCTTCTTTCCCACACCTTATTTGGCCAATGTATTGGACAAACAGCTTGCATCCCTCTTAACCAAATTCAACTTAACTTCCATTTCTTGTGTCAAGTGCCTAAACTTCCTATTCTCATTGTTGTACCCCCACCATCCCCACTCCTCCTTTTGGAGTCAACTGATAAAAAGCATTAAATCCCCTTTAGTTATTAGTTTAGAGAGATTTAATTCTTTTGCTCTCTCAATTCCTTCCATAACGACTAGAATTTCAGCTCTCAAAGAATCCCCTACATCAATAGAAGCTGAGTATAGAGCCATTATTTTACCATCCTCATCCATGAAAGCTCCTCCTGCACCTAAAGGTCCAAGATTACATTTACTATTGCCATCAAAATCCGGTTTAATGAATCTACTTGTTGGGGGAATCATGTTGGCACTATCATCTCTTTCATGGGAGCAAAGTCAACCACTTCTCTCTATTTTCTCATTAAATCAGAAGAAGGAATTCCCTCAAATAGCTTTAAAGTTTTCACCCAATGGATCACCCTAACTATAATGATTTCAATTAGGGCATCCTTACTTTCCTTGTCTTCAAACAACCTATGATTTCTCTCTTTCCATAATTCCAGAAAACTGCAGCCCTTGTATATCTCAATAAAACTCTTCCCCTCTTATGTTAACTAACAAAGGTAGGGTCAAACAGTCCTTGTACATTTGGAAAGGGGTTCCACCTCCACCCAAGCAAGAAAAAAACTACTCCCAAATAGACAATACAAGAGGACAAGAGATTAATAAGTGATGGGAAGGCTCCCTGTTAATCGTACAAAAAAGACACCAATAAGGAGATAAGCACCAATTAAGTATTTTCCTTTTGAGAAAATCACAACATTATAATTCTATCTAGAATTACTTCCCAGCATAACCCCCCAATTTTATGCGAAATAGGCTTACCCCAAACCTCTTTCTCCAAAAAAGGTTGGTTCCTAGTGTTAATTAGCCTAATTAGGGACAAAAAAATTAAGGCACAAGTGAAAGTACTTGGGGGGAGTCCAAATTCAACTATCATTATGTGAAGGGTCTAAATGAACACCTTCAAGGTTTTGAAAATTCCTTTAGGGTTGAATTACCCAACCAAACATGTTCCTAGAATCAAGGTTTTAAAAAGCTAAAGGTGTAGCTGAGGTGTAATGGCCTGGAAAGGTGAAACATAAGCCTCAAAAATTAAGAAAAATAATAATTAAAGTTTATAAATGATAAAAATAACATGTAAAGTACCAAGTTAGAAAGATGGAAGGTACAAATATCCATAAAATAGAATTTATAAGCAATAAGTTTTCATTTTTAAGCATTAAATAAAATAATAATTAATCATCTAACAATTATAAGCATTTTAAATTTTATGTTTAAAAATGCAATCTTATGAAATTATTCATTTGAAGAATCATCCATATAATGGACATCAGATTTATGGTCATTCAACAGTTGGGAAGAAAAAAAAAACAATGTAGATGATTTGATTTATGCAAAAAAAAATCAATAAAAAGAAAAATAAATCCATTAGGAAAAGAAATGAGAAAAACAACAAGCTTGGGATGTTAAATTAGAATATTTAGAAAAAAAAATCGACTTCATTTATCAAAGAGAAAGTAATAACTTGATTGACCCTTTTTTGCATTGAACTCTCTTAGAATAAAATACTAAGAGAAACTAATAGAACTTGATTTACCATGTAGGTTTTTCGGTTTTACTCTTTTTATTTGGACCATAATTATTGAAGTGTTTTTTCTATATATTTTGAACTATAAAAAAATGCATAAAAATATATATTTTTGAATGAAATCACTAAATAATGGTGATACTTGAGAATTATGCCTTTTTACACCTCATGCCTCGAGGCTTAAGGCTTACACCTCATTCCGACAAAGGCTTAAGCCTTGAGGAAAAATCCTGTGTGACTCACCTTAAGGTATACGCCTCATGCCTCAAGGCTTAAAGCCTGTTAAAACAATGCCTAAAATTTGATTACTAGAGCAAGTTATGCCTGATATAGTTTAGGAAAAAAGGCAAAATCACATGGATAGACGTCTAAGGAGAAGCTCTTGTAGCCCTAACCAATAGACCAACATCCCAACCATCAGCAACAAGACCATGAATACTGATAATAACCTTCACCCACAGCTTATCCTTTTCAATTGACAATCTCCAAAGCCACTTAGCAAGTTATTGAGACTATGCATTGTAGATAAGGGTATTTATGTCTTTTTATTTTATTTGTATTTGGGTGCTCATTTAATGGCATAAATGTAATTTTTTCTCTTGCTAAGTAAAAAGATTTCTATTTTGGGTGTGAACAGTAACACATCCTATTTCTCACGAAATCTCTTTTCTCCTTCCTCTTTGTTCTCTCATATTTCTTCTTCTTCCTATACTCTCATTCCAACTTGGTATTAGAGAAGATTGGGATATAGAAAAAGCAGTTCTCTACTGATCTTTGAACCCAAKAAGACATGTTGACATCATATCGCCGCCAAATGACATCAGCAGTCCGTACCCTTCAATCTAGTTCAGCCTCGTGCGCTCTTTGGTACGGGTATCACCTCCATTTGATGCTTTTATGCTTTTTCTGAATTTTTCAGCCAATGTTTAAAACTTTTTCTTCCTATTTAGAGTTGTTTCTTTCTAGAGACTTACTGCCCTTAGGTCGTTTTACCTTTATGGAGATGTGGGAAGTGGTTCTACAATTTTTTAAACCTAGCTAATTATTAGGATATCTTATTCTCTTCATATATTGCCATCAAATTTGTTTCTGGTCTTCTATTGGCTCTGAAACGAGTGTCGACCTATTTTAGCGGGTCTATTGTGTGTTAATTGGTTGTTGGATTAAAGTAGGGTTGTTAAGTTGCTAGTTTAAGCCCAATGGAATTACCTAAAGAAGTACATACCATTTCTAGAATGCTCCCTGGAAATGTTGATGCTTCTAGTGGTATGGTAACCATCGTAAAACTTAATGAAACCAACCATGATTTTTTAACCGTTGTTGACCTGGACAATCAGACCGTTCAGCCCGGGAATCATCTAGGCAACCGCTTCCATTTTACCCCAAACCTAATCCTTAGCCAAAAACCGTTGAATTGGTCAATGACCCATTGACCCGAGCAGTTGAATCGTTGGCCCATTTAACCCATTCAACAGTTTTGGCCTTTTCTTTAATTTTTGTTGTCAGAATGGGTCATCTGTTTGAACCGGACAGTCGAACCATTAACCTGAAAACCAGTGACTAGAACAATCCAGATTCTGAGTCATTTTTTGAAACATTGGAACCAACTTCCTAGAATGGTCCCAATCTACCAAGCTTACCATTGGGGGAGGTGAAGTCAAAATCTAATGACCCCAAGTTTCCTAAGTGGGAATAGGAAAATTCATTGGTTATATCATGGCTGGTTTGTTCAATGCAATTACATATTACTTGCAATTACATGTTTCTCTCTACTACTAAGGACATTTGGGATTGTGTTGCTGCCACATACTCCAATGTTAGGAATACAACCTAAGTCTACCAACTTTGAAAGGAAGCCTAAATACGTGTCAGGGGGAGAGGACTGTGGTTATATACTTTTCTTCCTTACAATCTCTTTGGGAAGAGATGGACCATCCAGAGGCCTTGGAATGGAAGCATCTTGAGGATGGTGAACAATATCAATAATATGTTGAAAAGAACTGAGTATTTTATTTCTTATCGGGCTTGAATATTGAGTATGATTTTACTCAACAACACATTTTGAGTGTAAATATTGTTTCCCTTGACAATGCATACTCTTTGGTACAAGGAGAGGATTGTAGAAGGGTTACAATGATGAAAACTTCAGTAGTTGATCATTTGGGCTTATAAATCCTCCAAACCCAAGCTAAGTGTAAATAGATAGGGTGATAATGAGAAAATTGATGAGGTGGTATGTGAATAATGTAAGAAGCCCAAACATATTAATGACCAGTATTGAAACTTTAATCCACATTTGAAGCCTAAGAAGTTTAAGGGAAAGTTTAATCCACCCAAGAGTAAGCTTCCCTAAAGTGAAGGGAAAGTTTGTCATCTGAAGAAATCCCTTTATGAACTCAAGCATTCTCCTAGAGCTTGGTTTAATACATTCAAGAAGGTTGTTCTTAAAATTGAATTCACTCAATCACAAGTAGATCAATCGCTCTTTATAAGAAGAGTTAATGGCCAAGTGGCTGTGATGATAGTATATGTTGATGACATTATTGTCATCGGAGATGATAACTCTAGAATAGTCCAATTAAAGTCATTTCTTGCTTATGAATTTGATATCAAGATCTTGGGAGTTAAATATTTTCTTGGAATTGAAGTGGCAAGGTCAAAGGAAGGGTTCTCCATTTTATAGAGAAAATATGTATTTGGCATCCTTCATTTGGTTGGCAAGTTAGGATGCAAACTAGTTGAAACTCCTATTGACCCCAATCATAAACTAAATGTTGATGAAGACACTCTTCCAAACAAGAGTGTCTATTAGAGACTTGTTGGTCGGCTTCTCTACTTATACTTGACCAAACCTAATAGTCTATGTCATAAGTGTGGTAAGTGAATATATGCATAATCCCAGAACTTCACATATGCTAGTAGTTAACAAGATCCTTGTTTACTTAAGGGGGTGCCCAAGCAAAGGAATGTTGTACTCCAACCATGGGCATATCAAGGTTAAGGCCTATATTGATGCTAATTGAGCAAGTTCTATAGATGATAAGAGATCCACCTTTGGTTATTGTGCATTGGTGGAAGTAATGTTGTGTCTTGGAGAAATAAAAAGCAATTAGTTATAGCTCGATCTAGCGCAAAAGCAGAATATAGGGCTATGGCTCATGGTATATCAAAATTACTTTGGCTAAAGACCTTTTTATTGATATTGGGAATCCAAGATAAAGTTTTAATGAGACTATACTGTGATAACTAAGCTACAATAAACATTGCATTAATCCAGTGCAACGTGATCGCACAAAACACATTGAGGTTGATAGACACTTTATTAGAGAAAGGGTAATTAGTAGAGAAAAAATGTGTCTTTTGTCAAGTCAGAATATCAACATTGCATTAATCCTAGGCAAACTAGGCATGATAGATATTTATGTTCAACTTGAGGAAGAGTGTTGAGATTATGCATTATGGGCAAGGATACTTGTGTCTTTTTACTTTATTTGTATTTGGGCACCCATTCAAGGGCATAAGTGTAATTTTTTCTTGCTAATTAAAAGGAGTTTGGCTTTGGGTGTGAACATTAACACACCCTATTTCCCACGAAATCTTTTTCTCTTTTCCTTCCTCTTCGTTCTCTCTTGTTTCTTCTTATACTCTCATTCCAACTCAAGCAAAGACATTTCTTTCTTGTATATTCCCCAACCCTAACCCACCAAATCTCTAATTCTTTTTCACAATTTCCTAACTCATTCTATGTTTTTTTTTTTATCTTTCCCTGGCTTCCACAGAAAATTCCTAATCAATTTCTCTAACTTTTGCTTATTCATGGAATTTTGAAAACAAACAGAAAATAGATCGGCAGAATAGATAGAGTGGATCAAATGAGAGTGATTCTTCCCCCAAGGACAAATAGCTTTTCTTCCAACAAGCCAATCTCTTAGTAAACCTTTCAACAATCAGATTACAGAAATTACTCCCCCTGAATCTTCCCCCAAGGAAGCCCCAAGTAGTTCATGGGGCTACTTGGGGCCCCAAGTAGTTATCCCCCCTGGATTTCCTAATGTTATGATATAGTCTGATTCGATGTTGGCGGTGAATGCACTTTATGGATCTGTAGTGAATGTCCCGTGGCAATGTATTGAATTGGAGGATAGTATTCTCTTAATTAGAGAGGCTAAATCTTTCAGGGGGACAACTGTTGGTCTGATATTCCACTCCTGTTTCTTTTGAACTATATGTGCAATATTTCTGCTTGTTAGTTATTCTCTCACAAAAAAAAAAAAAGTCTCATCATCCTTCATTGAAACCCAACCACTAGTAACTGCTGGATTCCCTTCATCTGTCCCTCTCGAATTGCAGTCAGCCCCCGGCTCCCTTGGGGAGACCAAGCTATGATTGTTATCACTCAATAGAAGGGCAGCTTAAACACCCAGAAACCATGACCTGAGAATCTTGGTCCTTATCATCAAATCAATCGTACTCAAGTATACCGGCATCATCCAAGTAGCAACTTCTGCCAAGTTCCAAGGTCATGGAATCAAGTAATCAACGCGATCAAAGTTGGGGATAAGCTGCAATACCATCCACCTAAAAATGTCCAAGGCAATGCATTAAATACCTGTCCTAAGCCTCATGGAAAATAAATTTGTCTTCTGAATACCTGTCCCAAGTCTCATGCCTCAAACATGGTCTCCAGTTTGAGACTCGGCACAGATTTAGTATTTACCCATGCATTAGTATAAAAAACAATCACGGGTAAATACAAGAAAGAAATCACAAGAGAATTAAACCAAGAGAGATGGGGAGCAGTCGAAGTTTTGAAAGAGATCCTGCTGTTCCCCAAGGACCCCCCCCCCCCTCCACACACACACACATACAGGATAATTTCATAAATACAACTAGCGATGGTCAGCAGTCTTTGCTTGTTGCTGGATCTGCTGAAGAAGAGTTGCAGCCAGTTGCAAAGTTGCCTGGAGACGTTTCTGTGGATCAGTATCAATCTCTTCTTGAACGCCACTATTCTGCAATGGTGGATTACCCAAGGATTCAGGAACATTGCATGTCTGGTGTAGCAACTGCCCTTGACCAAACTGTGAAATTGAAGTGTTGGAAGAAGATGCATGATTCTGTGAAGTGGACACCTGTGATGATCGGAATGTATGTTCAGTCTGATTTACTAGGCTTGTCTGTTTAAAATCTTCTCCTGGTGAAAAAGAGGGTTCACTCCCTGATGGTTGTTTTTGTCCAAGAAGAGATGCCAAGTGAGCAAGATGTTCGGGTTGTAGTGATGAAACTGGTAATGGCAGAGACACCTGAGATTTGCTTTCCTGTTGAGTGAATGTACTGCTGCCAGATAAAGGAATACTTGAAATTCCAGGTGTATAATGACTCGACCTTGTTTCTTGCACAACCCTAGGTTTTGAGGAATGATATTCCTGGGTGACAGAAGAATCAGCAGGATGGATGGAAGTATTATTGGGTAAATGAGAAAGTACATTTCCAGTAGCAGGTTTTGAGTTTCGTAAATCTTGGGTAGACCAGTTAGATGGAAACATAGGGTTCCTAATCTGAAGCAGTTGCTCGTACCTATTCTCATTACTCTCACTAAGAACATCAGGTAGTTTCTCAACTGAATGAACTGGCCCGGAAGATGAAGCTAAAGACGATCCAGGCATATCCCCCAAATAAGGAAGATCTTCAACACCAGCTTTCCTCAATCTAGAGTAAGTTACAGATTGGATAGGTTCCGAGGAAGCATTGAAATAGGCTTGACTTTGACCATGGGCAGAGGACCTGATCTCAGGTGAAACTGACCTTGGGTATAGCATATCCTCGTGAAAGGTTGGAAGCTTGGAATCTATTGCTTCAAGTGGATGATGGAAGGACCTGAAATTAGAACTGGGGTGCTGGAATCTTAAGATGACACCAGAGATGCTCATTTTCCCTGGCACTTTCAGAACCTTTTCAGAAAAATCAGATGGTGGTACAAGAAACAAGGTGGTCTTCTCACCCAATTTAGCAACTGCTACTCGCTGCTTTTCCCCCAAATAATGCATGAATTCATTGTACAGTGCAATGTCAGAGTCAGCTTCTGGAACAAAGAAGACCACCCATGTACTAGCAGCTTGACGGAAATGCTTTGCAAGCATATCAAGACCTGTCCTTGCTGTGCAGTTTAAAAACTCAGGCCTGCAACAAAAGCTTATGGTCAAAAAGTGGCATGAAGACAGAATCTGTCATTTCAGTTCATCAACTTTGATCAGTGAAAGGAAGTGCTTCATGCATGCAGGCAGGCGGACCATACTCATTCACACCTCTAAATTATTTGTTGAGATCTGGACAAACCATATGTGGACATAAAATAAATTAAACCCAAATTACAGCCATAGCAAGAAAGTGGAAGCATAATTTTGCTACCAGATAGGGCATAGTTGGGAGAAACAATACTAGAAGATTCATGGCCAACAAAATATATAGCTAACAGAAAATGTTTAGAGCATATTAGACCTCCTCGAACTTCTTCCTTGTGCGATAAATTTCTTCCTTATGCTAATTAGAACATAAATCCATACATAATACACTATTTAAACGATTTTACTTACAACATCATGTCAAGGACTTTTCCCACTGGAAAGCAGCGAGCACGACAGACTGGAGTTCCCCCCTTTGCTATTGTCCCTTCCCATTTCCACTCTTCAGTAAATGGAGACTGATGTAAATCAGAATTAAATTTTTGCCATTTAACAGGATTAGGGAAAGAACCAGAAGGTCCTGAACCTGCATCAGAACCATTATAAGAGGCATTCAAATGGTCACTTCTTTCCCCATGAGGACGCATTGAGTTCATTGAGCGATCAGGGATATGTTTGTAACCAAAAGTACCGAGTTCAAAGTTTTTATCATAGGCCTCACGTTCAGGAAAGTCTGAGAATGCCCTTGGCAAACCAAGTGGCTTATCTTGTTCTATATCAGAGAAAGGATACTCTGGAAGCTCTTTATCCAGAGGAAACGACCCTGTCTTTAGTTTCTTTGCTTCTGGGAAGAGGCAAGCATCTTCTGGGAAGTCCCAGCGGCCTTCATAAAGTCGACTTTTTTGAGGAAGTCTTTCTGGAGAAAAATCACGTCTATGAGCAATCCTGTCTCTTGCAGGACTACTTCTGCGTCGTCCATATATCTCTTCTGGCACTCCTAGATCAGACCCTGTTCTTTGCACCCTCATCTGCTCACAGGGACTTCCACCAGAATGAAAGGAACCATTCCTACCAAAGCCAATGAAACTGGAATCTCCAGACTCTGAATTAGACATGAAACAAGAAGATACTTTTTGTGCATCTCCTGTTGAACTACCAAAGTTCCTATCTTGAGGATAATTCTCAATGGATCGCCCAGAATGACCACTTGATCTGAAACGAGGAGAAGAAGGAGCATTTATTGAGTTCCTCCCATGCTCAGGCTGACCAATGTCACTCTTTGCAAAGCATATGTTTACACGGGGATTATTAAATAGTTTCCCCTGAAGAGCTTCTTTTGCCCTGCAAGCTGCTGCTAAACTCCTAAATTGCACAAATGCATAGCTACGACCCGGAAATGCAGTAATCTTTTCAATCTCACCAAATGGCAAAAAGGCTTTTCGTAGAACCATTTCATCCACATTCAAGAAAGCTGGAAACCCTATCCACAACACCTCACTTGGTTCTGCATTCTTATCCCCCATTCTAGACTTGTCAGGATAAAATGGTTCAGGACTATGACGACGTGTTCTTGAATCCCTCTGAAAAAGTGGAGTTCCACATTCAGCAGAGCGCTGGTCATCTCGCCGTTGCAGGTTGTCTTCATGTAATGATGTTAATGGTCTTTCCTGTAATTTAAAAGCTCTTGAAATAAGAGAAAATTATGCTTATACAGGGCAGGAAAGTAATATTTTGGTGTACTAAGCAATTTAATTAAATAATAATTCAATAAAGTGTACACCCTTTCAATTTGCCTAAAGGCCACAAGCTATTCAAACTGTCAATGTTTGAATTGATCATCCCACATGAAAAGTGTAGCAAAACTATGAACAAATGAAAGACAGAGGTTGACAGGATAAAAAGGGTATATAACATGGCAAGAAACAAGAATATATGCTAACATGCTTCAATTAGACTTGTAGAACTACAAATTATCTAAGAGGGGTAAGGGAGGAAAGACAAAAAGCCAAGTTGCTGAAACTTCAATCATGAATTTTATCTACCAAAATAACCAAGTGAAAATTTAACTGCATATGCAATTAATACAGATAATACATTCCCAGTGCTTTGTGGAGAATAAAGCAGTATAAGATAAAGAACAAATTGTTGCTATCAGAAAGGAATCTAAGTGAACAACATGGAAAACAATTATAGCTGCTATCAGAAAGGAGTGAAAGACAACTAAGATGGTTGTGCAATGCACCAGGGAAGACCAATGATAATATGAGTTTGTTTAGCTAGAAACGATAGCAACAATT